CCTGGCCACCCTCCTCTAAGGTTCTGTAGCCCCCCCTCTTCTCCAGGGTCCCCTGGAGTCCTTCGCCCCTGCCCTCCCCACTGTCCTGTCCTCTCACCGATAGGCTTTCCTCACCTGGCCACCCTCCTCTAAGGCTCTGTAGCCCCCCCTCTTCTCCAGGGTCCCCTGGAGTCCTTCACCCCTGCCCATCCCATGGGGACCCCCAGAAGGTCCTCCTCTTCCTCAGCCACCTCACCCACTGCTTGGCCTTCAACTACAAAGGAGGTCTTGGTCCTGTCCAGATGCCTCCTAGATCTCCATGGCTAGCCTTGACCTCTCCTGAGTTGGAGCATTGCAGTAGAAAGATCATTGGATACCAGGGTTCAAAGACATTTAACCTCCACGGGCCTCAGTTTCCTCATTTGTAAAACAAAGGTATCAAACTCAAATGGCCTCCTAGGACACTGCTAGGTCTGGATCTCAGATCCTAGGATCCATCTCTGACAATTTGTAGGACACGCATTCCCACCTGGCTGACCATTGCCACCTCAAAGTCCACACAGCCAAATGAGTTTCTAACCTCTCTCTCCCATAGGGTTTCTGTTCATGGCAGCACCGCTTGGCCAGACTCGCACGTCCTCTTCTCGGGCCAGTCACTGCTTCTTCCTTCTCCTCTACCGTGTAATCGGTTATCAAGACCTGGCAGCTTCACCTCCTATTTCAAGCATCCTCCCCTCTGTTTCTAAGACTTCTGCCTGCCATATTCTCCTAAGGGATCTGCCCACTTCCCCATCGCCCCTTCTGATCCATCCCCTTCACACTGTTACCAGACTCACGTCCTCCTTATGTAGAGATTCTGCTTATGTTCATCCACTGTTTAGAAATCTGCTCTGGCTGCCTATTGCCTCCTGAGTAAAATTCACACCCCTTGGCCTGGCATTCGAGGCCCTTTCCCTTCCTAGCCTCATTTTTCCCTTTTCCTATAAACTCCTCACACTTGACCTTGGCTTCGGCTGTCCCTAGACCTGGAATGCTCTTGCTTTGTTTTTATTCTCACCCATCTTTAATGTCCAAGTTAGTCCAGGAAACCTTCTAGTCTTCTCCTCCTTCCCTTCTGGAGCTCACAAGCACCTTCAGTTAACTCTTGTTAACTGTACATATCCCGTCTTATTTTACATGACGTGGGTCTGCCTTGCTCTGAGGCATTTGGGGAATAGGATGGTAGTGACATCAGACTTGGGCCTTTAACCAGGCTGCTTGGCTGGCTCATGCCCGGGACGGGCATTTGTCAAAGTTTGGGAAATGTTTGTCCTCCAAACTTGTAAAGGAAGTTTTAGACTGTAAGCTCCACGAGGGGAGGGATGGGATGGAGCACATCTAACCTTTGTTTCTTCCCCAGAATCTGTTCTTAAGACATTAATTGAGTAAATCAATCAATGGCCGTTTGTTAAGTGCCTACTGCATGCCAAGTTCTGTACTAGGTGATGGAAGTCCAAAAACATCAACAGGGCAGCCCAGGCCTCAAGGACCTGCCAATCTATTGAGAGGCAATGAGCCACACACAGCTACAAGTTAATTTTGTGAAAGAAGGTCTTAGCAGGTAGGGGGAAACCAGGAAAGTCTTCCTGCAGGAGGTGATGTTTGAGTAGAGTTTGAAAGGAAACTAGGCATTCTACAAAGCAGAGCTCAGAGTGATGGTATGCTAGGCATGAGGGACAGCCAGTGCCAAAGCCTGGAGGTAAGAGATGGAGATCATCAAGCAGTCCAGCTTGGCTTCACTGAAGATGGCATGTAATAAAACTGGAGTCAGGTTACAAAATGCTTTAAAAGGCAAACAGTTTACCTTTGATCTTGGAGGTAATAGGGAGTCATTGGAGTTTGCTGAGCAGGGGACGAACATGGTTGGGTTTGTGTTTTAGGAGGGAGGCTGGGCTTTATGGGCTACAAAGCCCTTTTCTCATCCTCTGCCTCACCTGTTAAAGGGCACCATGCCGCCCATCATTTTCCACCAGTCAGTTTCATCCCAGGGAATTAGTATAATTGGCCCCAAAGGTCTCAGGTGGGAACTGATGGGATACAGTTGATCTGGAGGGCTTGCAGGGTGCCAGATTCAAGCTTCATTAATAAGGCTCAGGGGCAGCCTTGAGGGCAGAAGCCAACTCAGTGCTCTCTCCTCTGCCTTCCCAGAAAGCCCTCTGGCCTGCTCCTGGGCCTGCCTGCCAGTCACCCAAGAGTGCCCAAGAGTGCCCAAGAGTGCCCAAGATGCCCAAGAGTACCCAAGATGCCCAACAGTGCCCAAGATGTCCAAGAGTACCCAAGATGCCCAACAGTGCCCAAGAGTGCCCAAGAGACGACATCACTGATCCGGGAAACGGGGTGGGGCTCACGCAAAGCTCAGAGTCTGGAGGACAAACACAACCCAAACTTTGACAAATGTGCCCATCCCAAGCGTGAGCCAGCCAAGCAACCTGATTAAAGGCTCAAGTCTGATGTCACTACTATACTACTCCCCAAATGCCTCAGAGCAGCAAGGAGTCCTGGGGTCTCCCAGACTGACCCACTGAAACCCAAGCTGGAGATAATGATCCCAACAGGCTCTATGCCTACCATCTGAGCACACCAGCCTAGCTAAGGTGGGAGCGGCTCATTGCCAAAAGCCTGGCACCAGGATTGGGGGTGACAACAATTCCAGAGGGCTATCCACTAACTTTCCAGGCTTAGCACCCATCACCTGCTCCCCTTTGCATGCACTTTGTTCCAGCCAAACTGGCTTTTTCCTTGTGTAAGATATTGCATCTCCAATCTTTTGCCTCTGTTCAAGCTGTTTCCCATACCTGGAATGGGCTCCCTCTTCACTTTGGGCTCTTTTGGGGGCTGTTGGTTTTTTTTGGGGGGGAGGCTTATATCCCCAGAACAGCACACATGTAGTAATACTTGTTGATTGGCTGAATAAACACCCAGAGATGAAATCACAGATAATCAGAGCAGGCCACCTACCACATGCCAGGCACTGTGCTAAAATGCTGGGGATACAAAGAACGGGCAAAAACCAGCCCCTGCCCTCAGGGAGCTTCCAGTCTAAGGGGGTAGATGACATGCAAACAACTTTGTAAAAACAAGACAGAGATGGGATGAGCTGGAAGGAGTTTCAAAAGAAAGGCATTGATGGGGCAGCTAGGTGGTGCAGTGGATAGAGCACCGGCCCAGATTCAGGAGGACCTGAGTTCAAATCAGGCCTCAGACACATAACATTTACTAGCTGTGTGACCCTGGGCAAGTCACTTAACCCCATTGCCTAGCCACCAAAAAAAAAAAAAAAGGCATTGAGATGGAGGATTGGAAGGGCTTCTTACAGATGGTAGAAAGGAGGGAGTGTGGTCCAGGGGAAAGAGACCACGAGTTGGAATTTATCACCTCCTGACTATGTGACCTTAGGCAAGTCACAGCCCTCAATTTCTTCCTGGGTAAAATGAGGAATCTTCCCTTCATGACCTCTGAGGGCCCTTCCAGCTGGAAATCTATGAGATTAGAGGTCATCTAGTCCATACTGCTCCCCCTTATTCTACAGATGAGGAAACTGAGGCCCAGAAAGATTAAGTGCCTACTATGTGCTGGGTACTAGGTATGCAAAGCCAAAATAGAGGCTAAAATCCAAAGTGCTGACACCAAGTAATGGATAGAAGGACTTGCCCCTACCGAGGTATTCAAATCAGCATTCTTCAGCCATCCCATTTCATCAGACCCACCCCATCCCCACCCCCACCAAGTAAGGCAGCCCTGGGCTGGGTTAAATGGGCCAAGGAGAAGAGACACCAGCCTAGAGAGGAAAGGCCTGGGAGCCTTTGCCCAAGACACAAACAGAAACAAAATGACCCGTGCAGAACAAGGCAGGACTTTCCAGGAATGTCTGGCATCTAGCATGCGTGTCTCTAGAAGGCTTTTCCATACACCTTGCTTTCCATCCATTCCCCAGCTACCTTTGGCCCTTAAGGAAGGCCTATCTCTAGCTGGGGAGGGGCTGCTCTCTTCCAACCCTCTCCAGGTGGAAGCAAGAAGAGGAAGAGAAAGAGGGGGAGGGAGAGACCTGGGAAGGCTGCTCTCAGCTAGGTAGGAGGAACGCGAGGAAGCCCCTTCAGAGCTCAGCCCAAAGGTTAATTAGTGGATGGCACGTGCCAATGCACTTGTTTCCAGCAGAGAAACTTGTGCTTCCGGATCCCTGTAAACCCTGCACGCCTCTTTTACTAGCCAGGGCTATTGCACAGCCAGGGGCCAGGGCGCCCAACGGAGACCTTGACACCATACAGGCTTCTGCGCCGCCAAGGCTACGTGGCTGGTTAAGCTAAGGGCAGTGCCGGGCCCAGGAACCCAAATACCTGTGGGGTGGGAGAAGGGAAGCTATCGCGCCCATCGCCACTCCAGATACCCTCCCCTCCCTGGCGCGAGGGCGAGGTCCCACTGGGACACACACAGAGGCCGCTCAGTCTGGGAAAGTACGCCCCCCTTCTCTCCCCGCCTCCCATCCCCGGGAACCGGGTAGGAAGGCTGCCCTTCCCTAACCCACTGCAGAAGGCGGAGAGCCCGGAGGAGTAAGTCAGTGTGGGGGGCCTGGGGAGAGAGATACAAGGGAAAGACGGGAGTGGATGGCAGGTGGTGATGCGGGAATTAGCGAGGACCGTGCAGGAGGCTGGATGTTAAGTGTGCAGCAAGGTTGCAGGACGGGAAGGAGGGAGGAAGAGGGGAGGAGCTGCAGGCCAGGGCACAGCGTCTCACGCCTACAACAAGGGGGGCACCGGGACAAGGTCCCAAAGCCAGAGCGCGGGAAGGAATGAGTGCGGCGTCCCATGCTGGGGGCAGGAGGGGCAGAGGGCCCCGGAGGTCGGGGTGGGGATCTGAGGCTTAGAGGCGCAGGGGGTCGAGGCCGGTGGAGAGGGCAGCGATTCGGACCTGCAGGGTTTGGGGCGGGGGCGGGGGCGGGGAGGGCTGCGTGTCACGGGCGCGGGGACCCCGCGGAGGGCACGCACCGTCTGAAGAGGCTCTCCATGTCCTTGATCTGCCGGCGGCTGAACTCCGGGAACTCGGTGTAGGGTTTGAAGACCTTGGCGGGCCGGGGCCGCGCCGTCCCCTCGTGGATGCCCTGGCGCCGGTTCAGCTGAGCCTTCAGCTCCGAGTCGGCGTTGGCCGTGAGCTCCTTGGCCGGCGGCTCTTCCCCGGGGGTCGGGGGCCCCGGGCTCCGGCCCCGGCTCCGGCTCCCGCCCCGCGCGGGCTCCGTCCACAGCCCGCACTTCTCCCCGTCGAGGCCGTTCTGCTGCGGCCTCTGGCCAGCCTCGGACTCCTGCTCCAGCCTCAGCCGCCGCTGCAGCTTCAGGGCAAGCTCGTGGGTGGCCATGACCTTGGTGCGCGGTGGCCCGGGCTCGGAGGGGCGCGCCCGCCGCAGCCCTGACGGACGCACAGGCAAACGGACCCCCCGGTGCCTTCCAAGCCACCGCTCAGAACTCTTCTCGGATCCCGGGCTGAGGGGCCAGGCTAAAAGCGAGAGAGGGCGGGCGGGGGCGGGACGGAGGGTGGGACGGAGGGCGGAGCCCCGAGGTCCCCAAACCAGGTCCGGTAGACGCTGGGAAGTTGCCCGGAGTAGATGTCCCGGGCCGTAAGTTCGAATCCCACTTGGGCTGCCTGGCTTCCTGTGCGCCCATGCGTGAGCCCCTTCTTTCTCTGGGCCTCTCTAGGTCTTTCTTGGTAAACCGAGGGGGCTGGATTAAGTGTCGTCTAAAGCCCTAACCCCGTTTGCCTCAGTCCTTCGTCTGTAAAATGAGCCGGAGAAGGAAATGGAGAACCGGTCCAGCGTCTCTGCCAAGAAAACCCCAAATGGGGCCACGGAGAGTGGACCACGACTGGAACGACTCAGCAACAACGAAGTCCTCGGCCTCGTTGTCCCTCCCGGCCGCCGAGGCGAACGCTCGCCCCGAGGGTGGCAGCTGGTGCCACCCATCCGGCCGGCTTCCCCCCCGGGGTGCGGAAAGCCCAGCGGAGCCGTCGGTGGAGCGTCCCTCGGGAGAGCCTAGAGCTCGGAGGGCCTTCGGGGCAGCCCGTCGACGCAGCGCTCCTTCCACAGACGAGGAAAGGAGGCCCGGGGAGGTTCAGGGATGTGCCAAGGGCCGTCCCGGGGCCCCTCTCCCTCAGCCGCAGCCCGGGAGCGGCCGCCCCTTTCAGCAGCCCCGGGGAGCTCTCTTTCTCGAGTGGCTTTGCGTGACTCCCCCTCACATGCCGCACTCCAGCCAGACGGAGCTTCTTGCTACTCTCTGAGACATTCTATCTCCAGCTCGCTTTCCCCCGAGTCTCGGCTGGAGTCCCAGTTTCTGCCACAAGCGATTCTCGTGCCTTCCTCCCCGAGCTGGTAAAGCTCGCGCCTTCCCTCGGACGTTATCTTCCCCTGATCCTTTCGATCTTGTACGTGACTCTTTCCCCTTAACCGGGAGCTCCTAGAGGGCCAGAATCTCCTTTTTGCCTTTCTTCGGATCCCCAGCACTCAGCCTAGTGCCTGGCACCTAGTAGGCGCTTAATACACGTTTGCTGATTAATTGATTAGTTCATACTTGTGTAAGAGAGTGTCTCCCCTCACTCCCCAAGGAGAATGTTGCCTCCCAGAGGACAAGGGGCTGTTTTGATTTTCTTCCCGACCCCACGGAAGGGCACAATGCCTGGCACAAGGTTGGCACTTAAATGCTTCAGGAATCGAATTGAAAGCCACTCTGGTTTCCTTTCAAAGATCCTAGTAGAATTGGAAAAGGTCACTGTGATAGGCTGGACGGAGCATCAGACTGAGGAGTATGAAGACCTGAGTTCAACATGGCCTCAGATACTTACCGGCTAGGTGACTCTGGGCAAGTCATTTCCGCATCTCAGAACCTCAGTTTTCTCATCTGTAAAATGGGGATAGGAAGTAAGCGCTCCTGTGAGGGTCAAAGGAGATAATAAATGTAAAGTACTTTGCCATCCTTAGAAATGCTAAGTAAATGTTAGCTGTGTTATTCTTTTCATCTCATTCTCATCTTTTTTCACGGGGTTTGGATAAAAATGATCTCGGAACAAGTCACTATCCATTATTCTTTCTTCTTCTTCTTCTCCTTATTCTAGAGTGCCTACCTCCTTCCCCCAGAGAGGCTGCAGTACAAGTAGTTAGGCTTTCTGTAGGCTGGGTAGGGTGGGAGGGGCTGCTTGAGTTTTCTGTTTCTTTGTTTCATTTGTTTTGCTTTTCCGGCAGAGCAAAGCTCTGTATTCATTTTTTGTTTTGTCTTTTTTTTTGCTTAGAATTATCCTGTTTTAGTTTTTTTAATAGTCATTGATATTTTATTTTTATATTACCTAAATTTCCCTCTATGCCTCCTCCTGCTTCCACAATCCATACCTTATAACAAATTGTTTTAAAGGAAGAAAAATCAGCTAAGCCGATTTAGACATTGAACAAATCTGCTACAATCTGCATTGTTCTAGGTGAGTGGAACCCCACCTCTCCAAAGAAGAGGAAGGAGGGAAGGTGTCTTCTCATTTCTCTTCTTGGGGGCGAGCTGGTAATTTCACATTCTTTTTCTTTTTTTTCTTTTCTTTTTTTTTTGGTGTGGTCATTTCTTCCATTTAGGTTGTAGTTATTGTCTTGGTTGTTTTCCTAGTAATACTTCATTCTGCATCAATTTATGTAACTTTTTCCATGCTTCTCTATATGCATCAAATTATCCCTTTTTCACAGCCCAGTAATCTATGTAATGAATATAATAGAAGAGATACAAATTAGTAGGTTTTGCCAATGTTGACATTTGGCAGTTAAATGGTATGTATGTTTGACAGGTGGCTGCTGTCCAGAACACATCAACATCTTTAAAAAGGGATTAACTTTGATGTCTTCAGGATAAGCACAGTTACAATTCAGCATTCCTCCCCCGCCCCCCCAATCAGCAGTGAGTTTTTATATACTAACAGTCCTAGTGATACTGAATCAGAAAAATATTGGAATCAGAAAAACCTGGGTTCAAGCCTCCCTTCTGACATTGGCCATGACATTCCAGCATCCCCAGGGAACCCTCTTAGACTATCGATCAATCAGTCAAGTTGTCTACCTGCTATAGTTTCCTCACCTGGTACTTCTCACACTGATGAAATCGCTGGTCCAATCCAATCCAATAAATTAAGCATTTACTGTGTGCTCAGCACTGTGCTAATTGCTGGGACCAAACAAAGTAGTTCAAGACTCTGAGCTGATCCCCACTGGGGATTTATGGGAAGGCCTAGACCAGTGTAGTAGAGGATGGGCAAGCAGGAATGGGGTGCTATCTGCAAACTGGAGGGAATACTCACATCTATGAAGCTGCGCATTCTCTGCACTAGAACAGCCCTTTATTAAAGAAGACTGAAGCCATCAGCTGAATCAACAATTAGAAGTGTAAGCTGCTGGTCATAAATGGAATGTCACCATGATAATTACATGGAACAATAAAGGGTTTTTTTAATCTCTTCAAGAGTTGAAAGTATTTCCCATGCCATTATCCCATGATCAAATTTATTCCAACAGCATTCCTTGGAGACTGAGGGAGACAGGTTTTTCTCACCATCCCCTACCCTGGGAAAAAGGACGCTAAGTGTCTCACCTGAAGATCACACAGCAGAGCAGGGTTTCTCTTCTGTCATCCCCAGGCTGAAGGAGCACAGGACCAAATGATCTTGCAAATGTGGTTTCCATAGAATCAATACCTACTGAGTATCTTGAGTAAGGAGAGGTAATATGGTGTAGGGGCTGGCATGCTGGATTGGGAGCCAGGAAGACCTGGGTTTGAATCCCACCTCAGATACTTGACTGGGTGAATCATGTTCACCTCTCAGAACCTCATTTTTCTCATCTGTAAAATGGTGATAATGATGGCAGCAACCTACCTTCCCAGGCTTGTTTTGAGTGGATGTAATTCAATTCCGTAAACATTTATTAAGTGCATAGGGTATGCCAGACACCGTGCTAATACTTGCAGACCTTAAAGGGCAGTATAAATGTTGGTTGTGATTGTTTGCTAAGCACTGGGAGGCAGACTGAACATGTAAGACAAGGTCTCTGCCCCGTGAAGCTCAACATTTGGGAGAAAAATCAGGTAGTCGCTCAAATGAATGTAAAAAATTGTGGTCAGGGCAGTGAGAGTTGTCTCAACAGTGGCCTCTTTAGGAGTTAGAAAAGGCGCACAGGTTTCCAGCTAGAAGACACCGAAGAGGCCACTTAGTCCAAACCCCTCATTTTACAGATGAGGAAACTGAGGCAAACAGGGATTAAATGACCTGCCCAATCACATAGCTAGGAAGTGTCTGAGGGCAGATTTGAACTCCTCATGACTCTTCCTAATTCCAAGCCCAGCGCTCTATGCACTATGGAGCCACCTAGCGGCCATGAAGTGAAACGACTAATGGCTAAATTTACAAGCTATTCACCATGGCAATTGTCGTTTTCTTCGATTTAAAATCTGTGCATTTATTGAAAAGTCTTGCTGTTTGCGCCTCTCTCAATGTTGAATCAGTCAGCATTTTATAGGCCAATGCCTTCCTTGTCTCCTTTTTGTCTTGGGTTGGGATCAAAGCGTGTTTTAGGAATTACGAGTTCAAATACAGCTTGCCCGGATAGGATGCAAGTCACTTACTTCAACAGGTGTTAAGAGCCACTGTGTGCCAGGCACTCGGGAGACAAAGACAAAACCAAGTTCACTCCTGCCCTCAGGGAGCTTACAGTCCACTGGGAGGAAACAACGGGAAAGCAGATAAATGAATACAAAACAGAGATAAAGAGCCCAGGAAATTCCTTAGAGGAAGAGGAGGGGAGACACCAATAATGGGGCAATCACGGAAGGGTTCCTGTAGGAGGTGGCGCTTGGGCAAAGTTTTGAAAGGAGTTGGGAATCCAAGAGGTGGTGATAAGGAGGAAGAGCATTTCTAGACACAAGGGACGGTTTGGAAGCCAGGCTGGAGAGGGAGCTGTAAATAGGCCATTTGGCCGAAACATAGAGTATGTGTGGACGAGTAACATGAAACCCGTTTGGACAGATGAGCCAGAGCTAGATTGTGGAAGACTTTAAATGTCAGGCAGAGGAGTCTGTATTTGATCTTAAAGGTTATAGGGAACCATGGAAGATTCTTGAGCAGAGGAGTGATGCAGTCAGACCTGGGTGTAAGACTATCACTTTAGTAGCCCTGTGGCCTCAGGCACTAACTCCATGACCCTGGGCAAGTCACTTCACCCTGTTTGCTTCAGTTTCCTCGTCTGTAAAATGAGCTGGAGAAGGAAATGGCAAACCACTCCAGTATCTGCCAAGAAAACCCCAAATGGGGCCACAGAGAGTCAAGCACGACTGAACAATGACAAAT